AAGAAAAACACGAATGCACTAACAGATTAAATGCAACAACAATAATAATAACAATAAAAAAAAGAAATAGTTAAATCAATCCATTCTTTTTTAGATGCTCTTGCCAATGGTCTCGACACGGAAACCAATCTCTCTGAGCTTGGGAGCATCCAAGATCAAACGACCATCGAAAATGAAGGCGGGCTTCTGCATAGAATCAAAGACCTTCTGGTAATCGAGCTGATGCATCTTGAACTCATCCCATTCAGTGCAGATGACAATGGCAGCAGCATCGGCGCAAGCCTCATATGCAGTCTTGCACACCTGGATATGTTTCTCAACCGTCGCCTCGTTGGTCCCGACACCGGGCTCAGTAAGGTCCATCTTGATCTGCGCAGCACTGACCTTGGGGTCGTAAATAGCAACATTGGCGCGCTCCTGAATAAGATAGCTGCAGAGAGTAATCGCCGCAGACTCACGCGTATCACCAGTGTCCTTCTTGAAGGCGAATCCGAGAAGGGCAATGCGCTTGTGTGTGACCGTGTTGAAGAGGGTACGAACGATACGATGGGTGAAACGCATCTTTTGATATTCATTCATGGTCACAACAGACTTCCAGTAGGCAGCGACCTCGGGCAAGTGAAGTTGTTCACTCAAGTAGACCAAGTTGAGGATATCCTTCTGGAAGCATGATCCTCCAAATCCGACCGAAGCCTTCAAGAACTTGGGTCCGATACGCGAGTCAGTACCACAGGCATAGGCAACCTCATCAACATCAGCGCCAGTGGCCTCACAAATGGCCGAGAGGGCGTTGATAGAGGAGATACGCTGGGCGAGGAGGGCATTGGCAGCCAACTTTGACAGTTCGGATGACCACAAGTTCATGGTAATGACCTTCTCCTTGGGGATCCAGCGAGTGTAAATATCGACCAACTTTTGCTGAGCTGCAAAGCCCTCTGGGGTTTGGAGGCATCCGATCAAGACACGGTCGGGATTGGTCAAATCGTTGATAGCAGTACCTTCGGCCAAAAACTCGGGGTTGGACAGGATGTCGAAACGAATGTTCTTGTTGGAGTTGGCCTCAAGAATAGTACGCATACTCTGGGCAGTACGGCAAGGGACCGTCGACTTTTCAATGACGACCTTGGAAGAGGTGGCAACCTCGGCGATACGACGGGTCGCTCTCTCAATATATCTAATAGAATCAGAACAAATTGCAATGTGAACATTAGACTCTGCAGGGTCCCACGTCTATTTTTGGATATGATTCGATTAAAAAGGTCCAAAAGAACAATAGATCAAAAAGAATCACAAGTAAAGGGAGGATGTACTTGAAAAAAGTTTTCACCTTCGACCTCAAACGCGTTTCTTTCTCTATAACTGCACCCTCTTTTTTTTTTTTTTTTTTTTTTTTTTTTTCTTTGTCTCTGCAATTGCCCTCACTCGTTCTTAGCTTAAGAGACAAATAGATAAATCACGATCACGTGAATAACACTTACGCAAGGTCGGCTGCCATACCAGCACCCATACCAGTCTTCTTAGTAGGAGTATTAACGGAGACAAAGATGAGATCGGCATCAATGATGGCTTGATCAACATCGGTTGTGAAGAACAAGTTCTTGCCACGACGAGCAAAGACGATCTCATCAAGACCGGGTTCGTAAATAGGAAGCTCGTCCGAGTTCCAGGCGTCAATACGGGCCTGGTTCAAGTCCACGATGGTGACCTTGACGTCATGGCACTGATAGGCAATAACAGCACAGGAAGGACCACCTATTTAAGAGGGAAAGGAGGAAAAAAAAAAAAAAAAAAAAAAAAAAAGAGAACGCGTATTTAGAATGATTTGCTGATAAAAACACGCAGTTCAAACTGCAAGGTGGAAGAAGTTAAAGATGCTTTATAACGAGCAGGGATCATTTATGGTAGCAAGAATCACGTTCTTGCGAACCATGTCCTTCGTGAACAGGGGAACAAAAAAAAAAAAAATTTGTAACACCCAATTTTATGACGTCCTGTGAGAATTCAGGGCACCTCCATCATCTTTTTGTCAATTGACTGCAGATATTGGGTTCCGAGTGTCCAGTGATTACTCGCTGGGTCCAGAGATTGGTATCCGATCTTTCCAACTGGTCAATCAATATGGTCATGGCTTCCTTAAGGGAGACTTCCATTGGGAGGGAGGAAGAGGGGAGATCTCAAAGCAAAGTCATTTGAACAAGTGAAGAAAAAAAAAAAAAATCTTACCGACATAACCGGCACCAATGCAGCAGATGTTGACCATTGTGGAGATATTAGAGTTGAAAGGAGGAGTAGTGGTGAGAAAAAAAAGAAGTTGGAGTTGTGATGCGATGGAGATGAGGATTCAGAAGAAAGGAATGAAAGAAAAAGAAAAGAGATGGCCCTTGTCCAAATATTTTTATACTCTTTGAGGTGCAGGGTCCCCCTTCTTCTCCCTTTTACAGTACGGACGCTGATTGGCCTGGTTGTCTTGATTCAATTGTTCCTTTTGTTCCTTTGGGATCTTAGGGGTGTATGTGTGTCCTCCTTATCGTCGAAAATGTATAATAAGAAAATAAATTGAAAACAAGCGGTTATTTTTGGTCAAAGGTTATTAATAAAAACTTTGATTCGTCTTTATTCCTTTCTGACTATCTTTGTGCACACTCCAACACTTTTTATTGGACTTTCTTTTTTTTTTTCCTTTTTTTATCCACTGTGCACTCCCTTACATCGATGCAATTCGTTCTTCATATACTCACTCTTATACTCCTGTGCTCTTTTACTCAGCAGATCCATTCAACTTTTTAATCAGTTCCTCTTGCCAATGAGCATCCATCCTTCCTCCCTTCCTTCCTTCCCGCTGCCTTTTATTTTATCTTATTTTATTTCATTTCATCTTATTTATTCCATACTATTTTCTCGGAGGCAAGAAAAGAGGGAGACAAAGAAGGGGGGGGGGAAGGAAATGGCGGAAACCACGACTATGCAAAAGGGAAAAAAAAAAAAAAAAAAAAAAAAAAAACCTTTCTATCAAAATATCTGCCTTCTTCCGACATGCCGATCTTTCCTCGCCTCTCCACCTTGCTCCTAGTCTACTCTGACACAATCGCGAAAAATCTAGGCCGGAGCAACAAGGGTGATCCATCTATCTCTACAACCAATACAGGTTTAAACTTTCCTTTCTATAACAATGATCGGAGCAAGACGCTTAATGGATTGATGAAACCAGTAAAGGAAATGATGCTCACTTCTTAATGGGATATAAGATATATTAACATTGTTATTACATATATAAATATACCACAATCATTCCAAAGGACCGTGAATATGTAACTCAATGGATGTCTGTTTTGACGCGATCAGTTTTTTCTGGTTCTCAAAATCGATTACGTAAATTAATTCTTTACATCTTTGAATGTCTGTTCCCAGGAAAAAAAAAAAAAAAAAAAAAAAAAAAAGTACATGTACATTGAATGTTCTTCCTTCTTTTTCTTCCTTCCCCCCCTTTTTTTTTTTTTTTTTTTTTATCAAATGGCTTGTGCACGGATATCGGAGCAAGCTTATGATGGATTAGAATAGTCAGATGTGAGAAGTGTTCTTATCAATTTCGTCTTCTATCACCTTCATAGAAAGATATTAGCAAAAAAAAAAAAAAAAATAATAGAAAGAGAGATAAGGAATGGGAGGCGTAAGCAAGCATGAGACAATGATGAGTTGGTTGTGTTAAGGAGAAGCTTTTCAAAAAGGTTGTCCGAGCTTCGTTCGATCTAGCTCTGAGGAGACAAGTCATAGTCCTACATCTGATTACCCAACAAGGCCTCTCCTTTTAATATCTCTCTCTCAAAAAAAGCATTTTATATACAAGGAAAAAAAAAAAAAAAAAAAAGAAACAAATAATAATGATAATAATAATGATAATAATAATGATAATAATAATGATAATAATTGACAATAGTTATTACATTTATTGCTTTCTAAAAATCGAATTTTTTCTTGAACCATGCCACACCCATAATTGCATAGCTCGTTCAAAAAGTACTGTAGACTGAGCTTATGCCTTGTTGACTTTGTTGACTTTCTCCCATTGAGTCTGAGCTCCCATGATGGCAGTAGCAGTACTAAACAACAAAAGGAAGAGCGAGGTATACATCAGATCCCAAATGCACGATTGAAATCAAAGTCTAGAAAGCATGGTACAAACAAACAAACAAAAAAAAAAAAAAAAAAAACCCTAAAACACAAAGTAGAACCCTTACCCAATAAGACCCACGGCCCCGTCGTCCAAGTTAAGGTAACCCAAACCAGTGGCAGGGATGAGCATATCCAAACCGTCTTGGAGGAGCTGTTTGTTGACAGTGTGCTGCTCCCTATAATAAAAGACGGAGAAATTAACCCACGTCAGTATAAATATTCATTAGCAAGACAAGACAATTAAAGTCATGGATGTCGACTGGGCTGATGAAGAGGCCGAATCGAAAGTCACGACATGTATAAATAAATAAGAAAGAATATGTTCTGCAGTATACGTACTTTGCAATAGCCTTAAGCTGAGCACGAGCGTCCGACTTCTCAGATTCACTGTTATTAGAGAGACCACGGGCGGCAGCCTCGCGACGGATCTGGAGCTGGCGAGTCTTGTACAATCCGCTGACGAATCCGAAAATGATTCCGGCCAACCAGAACCTGCTGGCGAGCTCGTTATACTTCTTGATATTCTTAAACTTGTAGGCACCTGATCCATCGATCTAGTCACAAATATAACAAAACAAAATCAGCCAATCTGCACTTTCAGCGCAATGGGCGTAGGGAGGCTTTCAAGCATGAAGATTATGACGCAATCAGCTACTTACAAAGATAATTCCATCAAAGGTCAAGTAACCGGCGTAGGCCAACTGCTTGCCAATGGTGAAGAATCGCAAGATTTCATCCTTGACTGATGTGGCCTTGGCAGCGTTTTCCAAGTGCTCAATTGGCTTGCCTATTGGATAATGAAGAGGAGGAAGAAGAAGAAAACAGAACCGGATTTTTAAGACTCTTGAATCGCGGTTTTTGATGGACGTATTCATAAATATCTGAAAGATCGAGCAAGCTGCTCCTTACCGAAACGCATCACTAGATCGGACATGGCACGTGAAGAATGAAGCAGAAAAGGCAGATCACAGAGGAATTAGTATCCGAGTCGAAGATTAAACAAATGATGGCAGTAAGGGCGTTTTCTGGACATCCGGACATGAAGATACTCTTGGGGGAAGTACAAAGCAGCCCTCGGCTGCTTTAGTGTGTACTTGATGCAAAAGCATGAATAAAGTGAACAGAGTCACTGTATTTTTTTTTTTTTTTATCATTTTCCAGAATTTTGTTCTCTCAAATAAAAAAAAAAAATGAATTTGCAATTCCTTGAAACATCTCATCCAGATTTCAAGAACAGAATGAATCCCATGGTCACTTACGCTTGCGAGACAAGCCGAGGGTCTTCTTGAGGTTGTTGAAGCGCGCGACAGTTTCCTTGGTGGCACCCTGGCGGAGAAGGTACCAAGCGAGGAAGCGGGAGAAATACTGAACAGCTCTGTAGATCTTGTCACGACCAACGGTTGTGGCTGTAAACTTGAGCCAAGGCTGAACGTTGATAGGTAAGCTGACGGCAGTAGACATGGCGATTGAGTAATGAACAAGAGAGGATCAAGAAGTGGTGTAAAGGAATAGAATGAGTTGTTTCTTGGTGAAAAAGAGAAAGCGGGGGAGTTTTTTTTTTTTTTTTTTTTTTTTTTCGGTCTTTAATACACAATCCCGTGTCACTTGTGTTTCCTCAGTAGAACCCGCATGGATGGAAAATATAAGATTTTCCATTGTGTGGGTGGGATGAAATCATAATCTTCAATTGTAAATTGTAATTGTAAATATATTTGTATCGTGTGGTCGGTCTTCACGTGAATCAGATCTGTTTGGAGCACCGAATCACCAACTAAGCCGAAGATTCAAAAGGAAATGGACAGTTACAGAAGGGAAACAAACTTGATCAAACAGATATCCCACGGATTCACTCTCCAGCTTTTTTTTTTTTTCTTTTTCTAGCAAACGCACAGGACACATTCAAAAAAAAAAAAGAAAAAACAGCAAAAATCAAGCCACGCTTGGATGAAGAAGGATGACAATGATCTGTCTAAATGACAAAGAAGAGCAACCCGTGTGGTTTTACCAAAGAAATTGACCATCCGAAATGATCCTTTTTTGTCCTCAATCTCATCACTGCTTATTGGTAAATTGGTACAACGATACTGAGAAAGTCACCGATATTGCGATCAATAACTCACCAATTCCTCTTGTGCTTTCACTGACAGGGACAAAACATTTAACAGTTCATATTAATGAATTATTTGGGTGGGACTATTTTTTTTTTTTTTTTTTTTTTTTTTTGACCCAATGGCCTTGCGTCTTTGTCATTGCCACTGGTATTCATGGCAGTTGTGTACCTAATTTTTCTTACTCCAAAATATCGTCCCTTTGCCCACCATTCACACATTCTCATCTTCCCATCTCTTTCATCGCACATCATCGACCTCTCTTGAACTTGCAGCTTTTACTGATCTCTACTCCACTTTGCTCTATTCTGCTTCACTTTAGTCTACTCCACTCAGCCCTTTACCTTGTCATAAAAGGCCTATATTTTCGCACACACATATATATAGATATATAGATATACATATTTCTGCATTGAATATAATCGATATTCTCAGCAGAAACGAACCAAAGCCATAGAAGCAATCATAGCCATTGATGGCGAAGACTTATGGAACCATGTCTGAGGCCGACCCCGTCCTCTATTCGTCGTCTTCCAACACAATTATCGCTCGTTCCGGTAGTCCTACCAGCGTTGGCAAGCAGACAAACGATAGTAGGAGTTGTAGTAGTCCAATCCGATCCAATATTGGTGGAAACCATGAGCGACACTCTTCTGACGAGTCCCCCTTGTTGAATCATGGATCACACGGTAATCATGATATTGGTCATGGTAACGAGGTTGGTCCATCTGCTGGCTTCTGGAGCTGTGTAAGTTCAAATCCTAATGATCCTAGTACACAATGGGGGTGTTGGGTGCAAGCATTTTTTGGAGTTACGTTGGGCGCTGTTAGATCCGCAGTTACGTTGGGCGTTATTGTATTAATAGTCCTATTATGTAACACATAAGAACTTTCCGCCATCTATTATATTCGCTAATTTTTTTTTTTTTCTTCTGTTTCGCTTTCTCCACAATGTGTTTAGACAATTAATTTGGCCAATACCATTCTAGGTACAGGCATGCTTGCCATGGTAAGTTCTGGCTGAGAATTCGCTTTTATGCCAGCAAAAGAATAAAGAATAAAAATATATAACCTTGACTCTGATTCCTGTGATCTTTTCATTATTCTTGATAGCCTGGAGCACTAGCAGCTGTGGGAATGATCTTAGGAAGCTTCATGATAGTATTTTCAGCCTTTGCATCTGGACTTGGACTTTACTTTTTGACACGGAGTGCTAGTAGGACTGAAGGCCGATCAGCGTCATTCTTTGCCTGTTCGAAACTCACATACCCTTGGGCAGCAGTGATTTTTGATTTTGCAATCGCAATCAAATGCTTTGGTGTCGGTATCTCTTACTTGATCATTATTGGAGATCTGATGCCTGAAGTCGTAAAATCTATGAGTACACTGGCGTTTGTTGCGGCAGGCGGTGATGGATCAGGAGATATGGATCCCATTCTCTGGTTCCTGATCGACCGTCGCTTTTGGATTACTATTTTCATGGGCATCATCGGTCCATTGTCCTTTTTGAAGAAGTTGGATTCGCTCAAGGCCACGAGCGCACTGGCTCTTGTTGCAGTTGTCTATTTGGTTTTCATCGTTATATATTATTATGTGAATCCGGAAGGACCTTTACCACCCAAGGAGGATATTCAGTATTTTAAATTTTCAGGACAGTTCTTTACAACGCTTCCGATCTTTGTCTTTGCCTTCACATGCCACCAAAACATCTTTTCTTGCTACAATGAATTGACGGATAACGGCCAAAGTATGTTGAACAGGATCATCACAAGCTCTATTGGAGCGGCTGTTGGCGTGTACCATGTCATCGGTGTATTGGGATACTTGACGTTTGGAAATGCTGTCGGAAGTAATATTATCCAAATGTACAACTCTTCTATGTTGGTCACGATTGGTCGTATCGCCATTGTGGTTCTAGTGATGTTCTCTTTCCCACTGCAGTGTCATCCCTGTAGGGCCTGTCTGGACAAGGTGCTATTCGCTTTTGGAGAGTATTGGCAAACGACACGTTTCGGCAAGGCCAAGAAATATAACTCACTAAACTCCCATGATGCTGATGAAGATCATGCCTCAAACACAGCTACTCTTATAGGCGCTCATCAACATGACGACCATGGTGGGGTTATCCCCGAGCCATCACAACTCAAATACATTGTTATGACCTCTGCAATTATTCTTGGAAGCTATATTGTTGCGATAACTGTTTCGGAGCTGGAACTTGTCCTGTCGCTTGTGGGCTCGACTGGATCGACAGCAATCTCGTTTATTTTACCAGGAAGCTTCTACTATAAACTACACGTAAACGACCCTTGGACTGTACGCAAGATGCTGTCAGTGGGTCTGTTGACCTATGGATGGCTTGTCATGATCATCTGTCTGTCAGCCAACATTCGCCGTATTATTAGTGGATAAGATGTATTATATATTTGGAACATGTATGGGAAATGCAACAAGAGCTGGGACGTTTGATTGATTGTTGCATAGATTTTTTTTTTTCGTTTCCTATAACAAATAGTGTATCATTCGTTCATAATTAATACATGTATTTATTCCAAATCCTTTTTTGCACTGTTACAAAGCACTGTGGTAATGAAGATCCTTCGTGCTTTGTCTTTTTCTTTTCTTTTGATACTTCGCTCTTCTCCTTTTTCCTTCTTCCTCACTGCCAACCAGAACATGTAAAAAAAAATTTAAAAAAAAAAAAAAATGGCCCCTTACTTTGCGTGGCAAATTTGGGTGAACTTGACCATGATGCTTTGACCTGACTGACTTGTTCCCAACTGAGCCTCAAGTTTGGAATGAGATTCCCAATTGTCAGTTCATTCAGTCTCATTTCACTCTTTCCCAACTCTCCTACTTTTTTTTCACTCGTTTGCATTTCCTTGGGTCTTTTTATTTTATTTTTTTTTTTTTTATTTTTTTTTATTTTTTTTTTATAAACGAATAAACGAATAAACGGTGCTGTACCGCCTACGGTTTTGCAACGAAAACCTGACCAAACAGTAAAGTCCGAACATCTTTCAAACAGAAATCCTTCCCATCCGCATCACTTGTTGGTAGCTTTGGTCAGGATGGAGTCACCCCTACTCAATCATGTGAACGAGTTGAAGGACAAAGGACCCAGACGATGGTTTATTCTGGCCATGTCGTGCTTACTTCTTTTTGGCAATTACTTTGGTATGAAGAATTAGCGCGCGTGACTTTCTCTTAGTTTGCAGTATTTTGTCTGTACAGTTACAAGTTTGGCTCACAACCTTGCTAAAAACTAACTTGATGCATATGTCTTTTTCCCTGCATCTCCTGCATGTTCTGCATGCGGCACCGAAAAAAAAAAAAAAAAAAAAAAAAAATAGCCTACGACAATCCTGCTGCACTCAACACCCAACTTCAGAAATACTTAGAAATCCCCTACAACGATTATCAATATCTTCTGTCTACGCTCTACAGTGTCTATTCTTTACCCAATACTATCCTACCTTTCTTGTTTGGGTCTCTTGTAGACAGATTTAGTCCTCAAAGGGTGTTGTTGATGCTCAGTGGCTGTGTCTGTATTGGTCAGACCATCTTCTCGATCGGAGTTCAATCTCGGAAGGTGTGGATGATGCTTTTGGGACGAGCCATCTTTGGAATTGGTGGTGAGAGCTGTAGTGTTGCACAAGCCAGTATCACAACTATGCAATTCAGGTGAGTCTTTAAAAAAAAAAAAAAAAAAAAAAAACTTCTGAGTTAAAGTATCATGGAGCTTCCTGTCAGAAACTCCCCCTTCCCCCATCTGCAAGATCCAACGTTCTTATGAGGGGGGTAATTTGTTCATCATTTACAAATAGGGGACATGAGCTTGCTCTTGCATTAGGACTAAATCTTTGTATTGCAAGATTTGGTAAGTAAGATTTAAGATTTGGGTCCAAGCGTTTTTTTTTTTTTTTTTTTTTTTTTTGAAAAAAATTTACCAAGACTATTTACAGCTTTTCAACTTTTATTCTTTGTTTGGTTAAGGATCTGTCGTGAACTCCATCATCACACCATGGATTGAGCAACTATGGGGCGTCCCAACAGCAATATGGGTAGGAACACTCAGTTGTGTGGCGTCATTTTTATCCGCAGTTGCTCTGGTCTGGATGATCAACAACCCTCCTCCATTCACACCAACTACACCCCAAAAGGAAGAGCAAGATGTAGCACCATTGCTTTTGGATGCACCAAACCCTAATACCAATAACAATGCGAACAGCGGGCTTTGTCTTACAGTAATTGACCATACTGGAACGCCTCATGCACATGCACCGCTGCCCATTATCTGTCCCCCTACAGAGTTTGCTATCGTTCAGCACCTGCCTGGGGCTTTAATGCAAGAGGATAGCCTCGTAGGGTCGGTTGATAATACCCTGTTTACACCAGATACCGCTGAGTCATCCACACGAGCATCTCTTCATATCACTAACGCAGACTATCTACAGAAGCAAGAGCTTTGGTGGATGCAGTGGTGGGAAGGTCTCAAGTTCTTTCCATCTTCATTCTGGCTGCTCTGTGCCATGACTGTGCTGCTCTACAGCACGGTTGTACCATTCAATAATGTCGCAAGTGACTTCTTGCAATCAAAATGGTATCCTAATAACCCCCGAAAAGCCACTACAATCATGAGCATACCCGATACCATTGGCGCCTTCTTAGGTCCTTGTCTGGGCATTATAGTAGATCGATATGGAAGACGTGCAAGCATCCTGATCGCATCCACAATTGTTTTGGTGATTGTCCATACTACCCTGGGTTTTACTATGATCAATCCCATATTTGCGTTCTCATTACTTGGTATAGCCTATGCGATGTATGGTGTTGCTATCTGGCCTTCCTTTGCGTGGTAAGCAAGTGCTTCTTTTGATGCCAGTTAGAGAAACAGAGAGAAAAGGGAAATGGAAATTATAAATAGCTTTACAACACAACCATGCTATCGTTCTCAATGCTTTCAATTTATTCCTTTTAAATTAGTGTCATCACGAGCGAATTGCACCTTGGTAAAGGGTATGGGATCGGTTCAAGTTTTCTCAACATCTCATTAACCGCGGTGCCTCCAATCGTGGCCACAATCCGTGTGTTGTGCGGAAGCTTCGTCCCCGTAGAGGTTTTCTTTATTTCAGTGGGGCTTGTGGGGACCGTAGTGGGATTCATACTGAAGGGGATCGATTGTCGGGATGGAGGTGCGCTGGAAGCACCGGAGATCCATGTTGAAGCACCGGTTATTATGTCACAGCCTTTAGCGGGCTCAGTTCCTCCCTCGGCAATTGCATCTCCAGCGATGTCTCTGGCTCGATACCAGCTTTCGGAGGATCAGAGGCGCCTTCGACTGATTATGCTTAGATCATCAATATCTGAATCTGGGCTTGGCTGGATGCCAAAACGCTTGGAGGATTATAGCGACGATGATGGAGTTGATGATGGTAATGATAGCAATACTAACAAGTACAGCCAGCAGAACGCATTTCTAATTCAATGGGAAGCACAAGGCGAGAATTCATCAGCCAAACCGTCGTCCGTCTATAGTCCAGATTCACCAGCACCTTCATCACTCATGCTGAAGAAGATGAGGAGGAGATATCGACGATGCCATGACCGGACACTACTATATCAGGCGCTTGGGAAGATCAGAAGCCCATTACTTCGTCAGCATTCATCCAGCTCCCGTTATGGGTCAATACCATCGCCATCCACCGCTACAATGCAAGACGAACAATGGAATATAGATGAAGAAGCAAAGACTCTCCTCGACCCAGAATGTTACAGCGTGAGTGAGTATCCTATTCTCTATAACCCATTACGGGGAAGCTCGGGTAGTTTTCGGATCAGTAGAAATGTACAGCCAGTGACATTGGATGAAGCCAGGGGAGAGGGACGAATTCCTCAAGATGACTAAGCGGTAGGGTCAGGAGAGTATGATAAGAATGAAGAATGAATCTGGTGAAGGCTCTGCTGCCCAAAAATTGAGGATTCAAGAATGGGAATGACAACTATGTATGACAGAATGACTGATACCAAAGCTGCATAGAAGTGAGAACAAGGTCTAATGCTTTAATGATTGGAGCGACACTCCCAAAGAAGCTCGGCTCTTTCTGTTGTAAACTGCTTAACTTTATTATTATTATTATTATTATTATTATTATTATTATTATTATTATTTTAAGAAAAATATTAAATAGCAATAATAAAGAAAAGTTGTATGAAATAACAACTTTTTAAAATTGATATATTTATTCATTTATTCAAAGTAATGTAGTAAGATGAAGTTTTTTTTTTTTTTTTTTTTTTGCTGCTCATGAGCGCGATACGATTAGATCATAAGCAAACTTGCCCATAAAGCCCAAAAGACCAAACTCGCCAATGTGGCCAAATGCACCGATCAGTCGTGCAGAGGGTCTACCGGTGGTATATCCGAAATAATAAAAGATCCTTCCTAGGCACCAAACACCACCCAGAACGGCTGAAGGGATCGGATAGACCACACCAATGAGCAAGAGCATTGCTAAGTAGCCCGTGAAGCCCTCAAGGGTATTTTGGTGAACGCGTTGGTAGCAGTTGAAGATGAGTTTTTGATGATCTTCTTTGCATTCTGCAGCATCTGCATAGAGGAATGGTAAAGGGACTTGAGCGATTTTGCGGTAGCTGGTTACTCGTGCACCGAAGAATATGGTCAATGCAATTGAGAAAGCTGCAATGATCACAACCTGGGGTTGAGAGAGAGAGAGAGAGAGAGAGGAAGAAGAGAAGAACTTGTTTAGCTTCTAGTTCTTGAAAAGATAATTTGTAAAAAAAAAAAAAAGAAAAAGAAAAAGAAAAGTTCAACTTACATAACCGTATTCAGGGGTAAGTTTAAAAGCATCCATGATGGCAAGAGAAGTAGAACAAATTAGTTCTTGTTTGTTGAGAGCGTTGATTAGTGATTAAGAGGAAGGGAATAAAATAAACTAAAAAGAGGAAGGGACTGTGGAGAAAGAAGGCTTTTATAAAGAAGGAGAATATACACGTTGAAAATAAAATAAAATAAAATAAAAAAAAAATAAAAAAAAAAAAAGATCGAGGCGTGTATGATGACGCGCATCTTGCGCTTGTTGAAGACGCGTACTGATCGAGGCTTTTAATTTTTTTTTTTTTTTTTTTTTTTTTTTTTTTTCGACTTTTTTCTGCGTGGCTCTTGCTCACAATTATCGATCGTTTTTTTTTTTTTTTTTTTTTTTTTTCTTGGCGTAGGTGGAAATGCGCTGCAGCACCGCCTAAATAAAAGGTACATTGTACACGATTTTTTTTTTTTTTTTTTTTTTTTTTCCAACGTGCTGGAGGGAAAACATGTCATATCTTTCATATCACTTTTTATATAAGAAAAAACTCTCTCATTATTAATAACCGACTAAGACAACAAAGAGCATGACGAGGCCGACTTTGTTAGCCACCCATTCGACTGTGAAAGAGTTTTGGATGAAGATTCTAGATTTCACAAGGCAAGGATGAGTGCGTAGTCGGGCAATGAAGATAAAACATCCATCGGATTAAAAACTTCGACAGCAACATTCTTTAACACCATTAAAGTGAAAAAAACACAACAATGTCTGCGAAACCAGCTCGTCTACATCTTCGGCGGTTAGTCATGAACATAAATTCTCGAGTGGTAGAGGAATAGCCCTCTATCTCCATTAAAGCAAGCCATCTATGCCTAGAGGATGGTCTCAATGCTTCAATACTTTTCAGGTCAAAAAAAAAAAATAAATAAAAAATAAACTAGAGCACCATATCATACATATATATCCGTCCTATGTAGTTTTTGTTTTCATTCATTTCATCATCATCACAATTACAATGAAAAATAGTGAATCATATAGATGTACTGAACATGTACGAACACAAGTATTTTTTCAGTAAAAAAAAAAGTCAAAGTTACCTTTGTTTACCGATGTTTCAGCGGGGTCTCTGTCTGGACACTCTAATTACGTACTAGTAGACCAACACCACTTACTGGAGGCCCTCCATGTATGCATGGCAGAAAAAGTTATTTATGCCAGATCCAGCAGGAAATCAAATTCTATCGTATCCACCATTATTAAAAGCGTGATATATGCGCGGCATGGAAAAGTTTGTTGATCCTTAGTAAAATATCGATTTGGACTTGTCAGTGAGTGTCCATGCATTGCACTGAAGCCATTTAGGTTGGCGATGTGTCTGACCTAAGGTACCTTGGAAGGTTGCATCCCGATGCCATATCTTAAAAACCCTTCCTCCCCCTACAAAACCTTGAAGAATATCAATAAAGCCTTTTCTTTCAATGATTCCTATCATCATCAGCTTTCCACAATCTTCATTAACCCCAATGTGCCTGGTACTTGGTACTCGGTACCTAACATCTAAATAGTGGTGCTTTCCACCATCTCCAACGTCATTGTACAGACATAGACACGCAGATAACACAGTAGATGTGAGTGTACAGCCAGACAAGCAGACAACTTGACAACTTGTGTGAGCTATCCCAAAACTCTTTTGCGGATCATGGCCAAGGAGACAAGAGTAAACTTTATGGAATAAGACAAAGACAAGCTCCGATTAATATTTGGTCTAGAGTGCCTATAACTAGCCATTAGAGGCACCGTGTAAAACCAAAGACCTGTTGCTCTCGCTATATTGTATCCGTCTTCCTCAAAGGAGACGTGAAAAGGACTAGCAAAATGCCGATCAGAATCCTTGCTATGTTATGATCCAAGTCGAGTGAGATCCCACGCTTTATTTAAGAAGGCTTTTGATGATCCAAAGCACCAAGAGCAAGTCGTTTTATTCCCATGTAGACATCCATTGATCAACTCAAAAGATTCCACCTCAATCCCAATGCTATGTCTCTGTCAAACACTCCCTCTCTTCAAATATCATAAGATCAGTCCTGGAGAGCGATCTGTTTAAAAGCTCTATAAGGGATTCTCAAAAGATCGTTAAATGTTACCAACGAATCATTGAGTGATAGGCGCTATTTATTTTTTCTATTTGCATTTCGGTGCTGCTTTTTTGTAACCCACTGAATGTATATATCATGTTTAACTGTTACTTAATACAGACGCTACACACTATTATTCCTTTTATCTCTTTTTTACAGCTCTCACAAAGGCACAGCATTGAATTTATTAGTGTGCTTCACGATGTTTATTTTTGGTCATAATAATGTCTTTATTATCGAAGTAGAGGTTCAAATAATTTTATACAGTTAGCAATTTCATGAGTGGTATGCTTGCTTCTTTGATGTCTGATGACAGGGGTAGACTCTGCGTCCGAGAGACTGGGATGTGCTCTGCTTTTTTGCCCTAAAATGGGATTAGGCCACCTTCACTTCGTGGAATGGCTACTTTTTCAGAGCCCTTGAAGGGGATCCCTGGCTTCTTTCTCAGAGCTCTTGAAGGGGATTGGCCCACCTTCACCTGGCGGGATGTCTACTTTCTCGGGACCTTTGAAGGGGATTGGCCCACCTTCACCTGGCGGGATATCTACTCTCTCGGAGCTCTTGAAGGGGATTGGCCCACCTTCACCTGGCGGGATGTCTACTTTCTCGGGGCCTTTAAAGAGGATTGGGCTAGCTATAAGATTAAATATGGAAAATGAAGTAGTAGTGAGTCAAATGCGTACTTGAACAGTACAGATACCAACAAAGACAGGTGTGAAGATCCTACCGTCTGCCCTAGGGGTGACCACAACTAAGGCGGCAGCGACTACGGAAATGACAGCGGTGATTAAGAGCTTCATGACGTATAATGGATAATGGAGATTCGAGAATCTTGTTAAGTGTTGTAAGGTATTTGAAGAAAAGAGAAGAAAGACGTGAGATGTTCTGCTTTTATATTAAATTAAAAAAAAAAAAAAAAAAAAAAAAAGATACATCAAGCTTGACACATCGAGAGAAATCAATAGCTTTCTACGTCAAAGGTGCTTTTCTGTTTTGTTATTTGTACTCTTTCAGATCATTTCAGTTACAGCGGAACCTGCTACGCTCAATTACGCTCAATGAACCAAGAACGGTTGCATGTCTATAAATGTGTACTGGTATGACGATATAGTTTGACTTTGAAGCATGCGACAAGAACGTTTCATTGGTCTTGTACGGCTATTCTCGTTTTATGCGGTTTGATGCATTTCCATGTCGACGTTTGGGTCAAACAGCCCAATGGAGGAGCTGTAGTCGTAATACATTTAAAATTAGAATGAACTAATTAGCCTTATTTGGCTGCTTTACATAATCAGCCAGGCGAAGCTGCTTGCTTGTCTTTGTTACTGATGATTAATACATTTGTCTTGGGATACTCAACCGTACCAAGTTGCTCACATTTTGGAGTATCAAACCAATGTGACGGCATACTATCGGCTCTTTTGCCCTTAATAGATAACGATCTTTTGAGAATCCCTTATAGAGCTTTTAAACAGATCGCTCTCCAGGACTGATCTTATGATATTTGAAGAGAGGGAGTGTTTGACAGAGACATAGCATTGGGATTGAGGTGGAATCTTTTGAGTTGATCAATGGATGTCTACATGGGAATAAAACGACTTGCTCTTGGTGCTTTGGATCATCAAAAGCCTTCTTAAATAAAGCGTGGGATCTCACTCGACTTGGATCATAACATAGCGAGGATTCTGATCGGCATTTTGCTAGTCCTTTTCACGTCTCCTTTGAGGAAGACGGATACAATATAGCGAGAGCAACAGGTCTTTGGTTTTACACGGTGCCTCTAATGGCTAGTTATAGGCACTCTAGACCAAATATTAATCGGAGCTTGTCTTTGTCTTATTCCATAAAGTTTACTCTTGTCTCCTTGGCCATGATCCGCAAAAGAGTTTTGGGATAGCTCACACAAGTTGTCAAGTTGTCTGCTTGTCTGGCTGTACACTCACATCTACTGTGTTATCTGCGTGTCTATGTCTGTACAATGACGTTGGAGATGGTGGAAAGCACCACTATTTAGATGTTAGGTACCGAGTACCAAGTACCAGGCACATTGGGGTTAATGAAGATTGTGGAAAGCTGATGATGATAGGAATCATTGAAAGAAAAGGCTTTATTGATATTTTTCAAGACTTTATAAGAACCGTAGGTCGATAGCAGAGGGAAACAATGAGCATTGGTAATATGTGAGCTAACAGGGCGATGATTAGAATGGTGTAATTGGAGGATGAAGGGCTTTTGAAATATGGCGCATCAGGGTACAAGCTTACTTCAGTCTGTGCCATGGAACCTGAAATTAAAAAGAAAGTTTTCACGTGCTTGCTACTCTATTACTTTGATGATCACTATGATCATCTTGGCAACCTCGAGTGGACTCAAATGGGGATGGCCCTATTTAAACTAATGTCTCACATGTTGGGGTCATTTATACTGTGATAAAAAGGGACTCGCCACTTTCTACAATATTCACTGATTTTATTTTGGGTCAATCCATTTACGATATCTAAATCGGTTGCTGTTTGAATCTCTGTTCCAAAGAATGGTGAGGATAGGAAATAAAAGGTTGAAAATTTTCATTAATGCACACGTCGTATTAAATGATGTTTCATTTTACTGAATCAGCTCCTGGAATGCATAAGCAGTTTTACAAACATCAGGCTTGGTCACAAGTCATGCATGGATCGAAGCATTGAGAGGGTTGATTGAATTTGCTGAAGCTGAAGCTAGGGCAGCTATCATTCATCTATCAACATTTCAATTGAGCTATCTGCTGAGAATTAGGCTGCACATCAATAGATCGGCCAATGATCTCTATCCAGGTCTCTGTAGTCGTTGGAGTAAGTAAGCATCAACTCTCAATCTTGAGGATCATGCATGTCGTTCCTTGTGTTCCATTTTTCTTCCCCTGTTTTCGACGCCATTTCTTCTGTTTTCATTTCCTCCTGCATTTCATCTTTTTTTGCTTGCTTGGTTCTGTCCAATGATCAATTAGGGAGATAGCAGTAGACATGCATGTTGTCTTCCATTCTTTTGTTCCGCCCCCTCTCTCCTTTCTTCCGTCTCACCTGTCACTCATTCAGGACGTTGGTTTGTGTTCCCAGAAGAGGAGAACGTGTAATGTGTGCATGCACTGCTTTTCTTTCTACCGTTTGACTTCCATCAATTGCTTGTTGTGCCTGATCTCTTCCCGCCGTCCTTTGATATATATGACCCCAAACCCCTCATTCTCCCTTATCCCCATCTCCACCCTCTTTATATCCCGCAATAAACCTTCTCTTCACTACGATTCAAAAATATATAATATTAATAATAAATACTAAAAAAACCACCAACAGCAGGGGGTTTTTTTTTTTTTCTTTTTTCTTCTTTTCTATATTGCCAAATTAAATAGCCGAATGGTACGCTTATGAAGTCGAGTCAATTGATCCTCGACCATGCTTCTATCATTCTTTTTTTAACTCTCTTTAAAACTGTTCTTCCCGCCCTTTTTTGCACACCTTTTTTTTTTTTTTTTTTTTTTTGCGGAAGGGCCCTTGTTGCTCTGATTTATATGTCTTTGTGCTCAGTTTTCTTTTTTGCCCTTTTTACTCTTTTTTATCTTTCACTTAATTCTCTCACTTTTTCACTTCATTCACTGATTCATTCTCTTTTTTCTTTTCCTCTCATCTTGACATCGCTCTATTAGCCCATAATTTACATCCAACTAAAAGAGAAAGTTCTTTTTCTTTTCTTCAGAAACATAAAAAGTAGAGCTCATTCCCTCAAGTCATGTCCTTTGTGGACGACGTGATGGAATCTTCAATTCGCTCTAAACACACCTCAACTCCTCCACTTCACTCATCTTACCAACGGGTAGACTCATTCGAGCCCCAGAACAATCAGAGTCCGCGTGTAGTGGCAGAAGAAACACCGGTAGTGGGCGGAGGAGTCACAGGAGTAACAGAGGCTGAAGGTTCAACTACGGGAGGAACTAATAAACAGACTTCCCATCGTTCCAAACATGAATCGGCACCGGCTCCACCTAAAGGAATAGCAGCGTTAGGGAACCGGCCTCGATCGTCCTCTAGCACGAAGGCGCTACTGACAATGGCTTTACTTGAAGCTCAATCAGCAGTCCAAAAGGATAATGACGGCAATATCTCAGAGGCACTAGATTCCTATAGTAAGGCTGTTACACTCTTGGGGAAAGTCATGGAGGCAGCCTCTACACAAGATGAACGTGAACGATTAAAGATCATTGTAAGTTCATAGAAAAAAACAAAAAAGAGGAAAGATCGAACAGCAAGATCTTTCTCACAGCTGGTTCTTACGAGCTCAAAAGTACTCTTACTGTCATTCCTGCTCCAATTAACGTTTTTGGTTCACATATTCTGACTTTCTCATCGCTCATCTCTGCTCTTGGAAAAAAAAAAAAAAAAGCACGACTCGTATCGGTTCAGAATGCATTTGCTTGCAACTCCGCCTTCATTGCCAACACAACAGTCTGTAATAACACCCGAGACGAATAATGAGAGGCAATCAGAAGGGGCCATGGAAACTCAAGTAGTTCAATCAACGCTAGGGACAGAGACGGCACAGAATGTTCAAGAGTCACGAAAGATACAGAGCAACGATGAGGAAAAACCTCAGGCGACGGCGCCAGTGGAAGAGTACACAAAATCTACTCCTCCTCCAAGGCCACCACCACCACCGCCTGGCTCATTGGATCTTCCGCTTTCTTTGAAAGAGGCACTAAAGGAGCAAGGTGTGACTTTTGATGACCCTTCACCACCACTACGACCACCAACTCTAGGGCTTCCACCATTGCCCATGTCCCCTCCCCCTATACCACCCCGGAATCCTCCCCCACCACCTCCACGGTCTCCCCCTCCCCTGGCGAGTATACTCGGACCAGCTCCTCTTCCTCCACAATCTGTAGCAGCCTCTGCATCAACGTCAACAATACGCTCCCATGCTCAGGCCACCTCAGTGCAGATGCACGCTATGCCACTGAATGCTATGGCCTCTGTAGAAAATACAGGAGCATCGACAACAACAGCAATGACAGCTATTTCTGGAGGTATATCACAAATAGCAATGGTTCGAAAAGATGCACCACCTAAGCAGACCAAAAAAAATAGAGCTGTTTCACACGGACCTCCTGCTGCAGCCCCTGCACCTCCTACTGGCGAGCCAAAGACGCGTCGCTTAAGAGCAGAATCAGCTTCAGTAGGGTTATCAGGAACTAATAATTTCTCAAAGTTGGAAAATACGTCAAATGAAAATGGATCAAGTCTGGCAAGGAATCGCTATCGTACAAAAACCTTTGCAGGAGTACCTCGTACCGCCCAAACAGACCTTGAGCATCAGCCACAACCACAAGCACATCCCTCACCCACACTACCATCCCAACAACAACCGCAACAACAACAGTTGCAACAGCGTCGTGTAAGAGACAAGGAGCAAAAGCCTAAATTCGTCATCTTGAAGAGCGCCCCTACTGTACCATTACCACCACCTCCACCACGGACATCGGGACCAACTACAGAGCCATTACAGGCCGCAGACTCAACATCAGCGCAAAGCAGAGATGTATCAGCTATGCATGCGATGCCCATGTCGCCCCTTATGTCACCACCTATGTCGCCACCCGTACCTCAAGTGCCACCATTAAGACCTAATCGAGTGAGCGCAGCATCTAAATTTACCAAATCAGGAACACCCACACTTACTGCTGCACACATGACGTTTTCGTCCATGGGTGACGGCAGTAACAATGGACGGCCATTGTCACCTCCACCTACTTCTCCACCACCAATCATCCCTGTATCGCCACCATTATCGCCCACTAACCCTGGGCGACGAATCAGACCGCTCTATCAACAATTAATGCCACAACCACCAATTAAGTCTCCTGAGCAACAACAACAGCAGCAGCAACAGCTTCCTGAGAGCCAAGCGGAAGTACAAGAGCAGAAGCAAGACGGAAAGGAGCAAAAAGGGCAGGTTGAAGGCTTAGCAACATTGCATGAAGACGAAAGAGAGGAAAGCCACTCATCGGAATCATCCAGTTCTCATCGTATATCTCATTCATCGGCAAGCTCTGTAGAAAAAGAGGCGTCTTTAACTATTAATTCTACTATGGCTAACCAAACTCAATCTACAACAAAAAAGGGGTTGGAATCATCGGCTAATGCCTCGGCCGACCCAGACACTTTAGTCGAGGTGTGGCTACCCAATTTATTAAATACGAGCTTTGCTACGTCAAAGATCTTTTTAGATCATCTAGAGCAGCCTTCAGATTCTACTCCTCAGGATCAAGTTTTCCTTAAAGGTAAATTGATACTCCACCAGGCTATTTCCGCTTTTACTCTCCTTTTAATATCGTCCTAATTATATAATTCTATTGAACATCGTACGGGCAGGATGGTATAAATCTACGCAGCATGGTCAGGAAGATATACCACCAGTGCCATCGATGCCACCAGTACCGCCTTTGCCGGCAGGATATAGTCAACAGTCACCAGAAATGCAATCTGTAGAACAAATGCAATCACCTACAACATCAACCTTACCAACCTCATCCACCATCACAACGAAGGCCTCGCCGCTCGCATTATCGCTTGAAAGCCAACAGCTATTGGACACATTGAGTCGAGCTACTGCAAATGCAATGGCAGCATTGGAATCGCATTCTGGAGCAGCTACAACTAAACCTGCGACACGGACTCAAGAGGCTATTTCACCAAAGCTTCTTCCATCACGGACAATATCAGCTACGACTACAGCCACAAAAATCATGGACAGCAACAGCAGCAACAGCAGCAACAGCGACAGCAACAACAACAATAATTCCCCTATTAATGCCAACTTGAAACCAAATGGAAGTGGTAGTGGGAACTGTCAGAACAATGCTGATACCAATACCAACAGCAATAACAACTCTAAAGGTAGCAGCAGCAATAACCAAAATAGCCCGACAATAGCGGCACCAGCGACCATGGCTACTACAAACAATACTGGAACTGGACGAGAATTGAGTTTACAGGATGTAATCTCGCAAGATCCTTTCGCTGGGCTGAAAACTGTAGGGTTTAAACGAGTTTGTATGGACCTTATTTTTCGGTGACAATTGGGCCGCGCTAATTCTTCCTTTCCTTTTTTTTTTCTTTTTTTTTTTTTTTTTTTTTCCCTTCTTTACGATCACCAAAGCCAATCCCCCCACATGAACTGGACCCTCCTCCTCCTGCTGACCGATTCCTTCGATGCTTCTGGTTTATGCATTTATTAGAACAAACCATGACTACTGGTGGCTTCCTCAGTCCTAAACTCTATGTACCTCGCAACATTTGGTATCAAAAGACAGCTGTCCGACTTCCTGCTATTGATGCCAAGATTCATGCATGTCAGACTCTTTCCCAGACATTGGATCGAATGGTAGCCCAATCCAAAAGTGGCAAGCTCACATTGCTGGTCGAGCTTGGTGGACGTGTCGAGAAGGGTGAAAAGGATAGAGCGATGCTTCTTCATGAACTAGCAGCCCTTGAGAACTTGACTCAGGAACTGTGGGTGAAGCTGAGCAAGAAAATGTCATTTATTCATCGACCTAATAAGAATCAGAGTGTGGGTAGTGGCAGCGCAAACGGGGGCACTCTGATGCTGGGCTTACAGCAACAGGGATATCGCCCATCCCATCTTTACCAAAACCAAGCACTTTATAATCCTTCAACGCAAACACACCGTCATGGGGATCAAAACCAATCGGATGAGCATGGGCCTTCTTCCGCTTCAGATCCATATAGCTGGCTTGGCTCAGAAGAGATGTGGGCCTCAACATTACAGTCTGGAGGACTGACCGCTGGGTCAATATCCTCGGGATCAGTCTCCTCTGGTACCTTGACGGGCTCTTCCATGGTAACTTCACCGGTTTCAGAGAAAGGTAGCGGGAACAACAACAACACTAGCCATAAAAGAGTGACTTCTGGTGGTGCTGCCAGCGATCTAAAGAGCCAGTGGAAGAGTTTTTCAAAGTCGGTGCAAAAGTCCATCGCCACTGACAAAATGTAAATGTCTTTTTTCTTTCTTTCAGGGGTTGAAATGGAATATAACGACAGCTGTATTAAGGACAATCCAACTGACTTTTTTTTTTTTTTTTATTTTTTTTTTTTTTATTTTTTTTATTTTTTTTATTTTATTTTTTTTATTTTATTTTAATTGACTAATGTTTTAGTGAGGATACCACCAGCTACACAGAGGCTTTAATTCAGCTATTCCAATCTAGTTACATCTTGGAGAGTATGCTCAAACATTTTGAAGCCTTACCACCACATCAAACTCATTTCAAGATCCTGGGTCGACTCCAACGGATTAGTGATTTCTACAACTTAGTTGTGTGTGCGTTTGTAATCCGTGATCTGGGTGAACTCATGTCAAAATATGTAAAGCGCATGGGCGCAGCAGTTGCTGAGTAACCAGGAAAAAAAAAGGAGAAAAAAGAAAAAAGAAAAAAAAAAAAAAAAAAAAACAAATAATAATAAAAAGCCAGAACATGTAGTATAGAATGAAGAAGCACGACTACAACTACAAAAAATGTTTCTACTGAGAAATCCATCATTTATTGTGTGAAGAAAAAAAAAAAATCACTTTTTTTTACAGGTAGCGTTGCAAGACAACAGCGTTCAAAAGCTCTGCATCCTTGATAGTCTGTTGTGTATCCACCAAATCCTTCCTTGGGAAACTCGTCTGGAGAGCATAAGCTCTTGAGGATTCGCCTGCACGAGATGCATTAATAAATCCACGGATATCATTGATCGTGTGTGTGTGGTTAAATCTCGCTACCATCCGTGTCCCATCTGCTAAACGGATCTGGATTGTTGTCACTGGCTGTGATTCATCAATGTTCAAGCTTCGAGGCGTAGGCTCAGACGATGATGATTCGCCTCCAGGGAAGGATCCAGGAGTTGACGAAGATGTAGATGCGGGTGTCGCAATGCTGCCAAGACGGTTTCCAGTACCCTCGAAAGGTTTTGGCGGAGCCTTGGGCGGTTCCTTGTAATCTTCATCCATACGTTTTGCAACTCGCATTTCCACTGGCTGACCCGGCCTAACGTTGAGATACTTGAGTGGGGCATGTCTGTAGAGGGTGACAATATGGTCATTATTAGTAATAATAAAAAATATATAAAAAAAGATTATATTATTAAAATAACATATTTTACAATATTAATCATCCTCTCTTCATTCAACATTTCTGTGGGACATCTGCATACCCTCTATTGATCGCATCCAAGAACTCTCTATTAGCTGGGTCGGTGTAGCTCATCAATGGGCCATCTTCAAGGCTATATCCATTTCTCCAGAATGTGAGCTGACGTGTAACCTATAAACCCATTGATGGAAAATGGTTAGTTTTTTTTTTTTTTTTTTTTTTTTGTGATGGTTAAGCAGAGCGAAAACAAAAGCAAAAAAAAAAAAAAAAAGACATACAGTTTCCAAAATCTCTGGTGAAGGAGTTGAGCGCACTGGTGCCTGTGGTGCCTGAGAGGATGAAGAGGACGAACTCTCGCCTTCACTTCCCAAACGATTTCCAGATCCTGTGAAATATGGTTTCTTGGGCGCAGGTTGTTCTGCAGCCTCTTCCGCATGTCTTTGGCCACCCCTGAGCATTTTTTTTTTTTTTTTTTTTTTTTTTTTTAAACAAAAGTGAAATTAGTCAGTCAACTGTACTAAGCCTTTATGTTTCTTTTTTTTTTTCCTCCCATAATTTTTAACATACTTGGCAGCCTTCTTCAAAATGTCCTCGACTAATGCATTGGAATCTTTCTTTCCAGGAGGGCCTTGAACCATCACACCTCTATAAAGTTGGGTAGAACAAGGAAATAGTAAAAAGTCAATGAAGTGCTTCATGATAAGGGGTATCTTTGATTGACACAAAAGGGTTTTTTTTCCTCCACACATACGATTTTTCTCCGCCAGCAAAGAAGTTTTGCGAATCCTCATCTGAGTCTTCTTCATCCGAGTCTTCATCCTTGTTCAAATCACGGAAAGTGGCGATGCCTCTGTGTATAAAGTAAGAAAATCAGTAAATATGCAGAGTATTCTAATCAGGTCGTAAAAAAAAGAGGAAACAGTCACTTTGTGCATCATCATCAACTGAACAGTACACGTACCCTTGTTTGCGACTAGAACCAGCATTGGCTTTACGTTTGCCTTCTGAACTCGACGAAGTCTTTGGAGCTGTTCGAGCGATGATATCTTTCAAGTCATCGTCATCGTCCTCATCTTTCTCTGCTTTTGAAGCTGATGATCCGGTGTTGGCTCCTGCAGCGCTGGCAGCTTCTGGTTCCTCATAAAAGTTACTTAGAGCTTCCTGTTATGGTTATACGTCCATGAGTCCATGAATGAGTACGCAGTAAATTATAACAAATAAGTTAGAGGATTGGCGTTTATGGGTATTTAATCTCTCTTTTGTGAGACAGCAGAAAGCAGAAAGAAAGAAAAAGAAGTAAAAAGAAGATATTGTATTTATTATTTACATTGAGGTCCCAATTATTAGCTTCAAGATAAAACTGAGCTTGTTCAGGAGTTGAGTCAACAACGCCGACAAAGTTTGCAATCAGTTCTTGGTGATCTGCCATTAGTTAACACAATGTTGTTCTGTTGGAATGAAGAAGAATGGAAAATGGAATAAAAAAAAAGGAAGGAAAGGAAGGGGTAGACAAATTTATTTCCTTCCTTGATGACGCACTTTTTTTTTTTTTTTTTTTTTTTTTTATATTTGGGTGAACAAAAGGCCTCTTTGTCTAAAGTCTGGATGGGTTCTTGACGGACACAACAAGCTTTCCGAACTGGCTACCTGTCTTCATCGCTTCAAACGCGTGCTCAGAGAGTTCAAGCCCACGCCAGACTTGGCTTACAATTGGCCTCAGCTTATGCTTTGATACAAACTCCAACATCTGTTGGAACTCTAGACGCGATCCCTATTTATAAAAATGTTGATTAACATTAATAATCATACTTCAAAAGCTTGCCAGTCTCACGCATTATGGATTATTGAGAGTAACGGACTTGTTTATTACTTACCATTGTGCTTCCACGGATTTCAATGTTTCGTAGGACAGCGGCCATAGTGTAGTCGACCTGAGGTTTGACAGTCATGCCATACGAGACAATGATACCTCCCAATCTCAGAATCCTTGTGAACGTTTTGGGACCGTCTCCTCCAGCACCATCAATTACTGCATCAAACAGTACTCCTCCAGTCAAATTTAGTAAGGCTTGGCCCCATTTGGCTGAAATCGTAATATAAATAGTAGTGAGATTAACAATGTGAAAAAAAAAAAAAAAAAAAAAAAAAAAAAAAGACGAAAAATGGAGCTACTAGAACTTACGGTCTTTATAATTAACGCCTCCTGCAGCACCAAGACGGACAGCCTTGGCTATTTTTTCATCACTCGATGAAGTGACAAACACTTTGGCACCGATTGCTATAGCAAACATCAGTGCTTGTAGTGCAACACCTCCGCCTAAACAAATAAATATCGAAAGAAGTTAAAGCGGCATTTTGTCTTGTTAAAATAAAAATAAAAATAATAATAAAAAAGACACGCATTAATCCTTACCAATCCCAGTGATCAACACAATTTGGTCCTGAGCAACTTGACCTTTTGTAAACACAGCACGGAAGGCTGTCAAGCCGGCCAATGGCAAAGCAGCAGCTTCTTCATCCGACAAGTGATCAGGTGCCTTAAAGATGTTTTCTTGATCTGCTACAAAGTACTCGGAAAACACACCTGGAAACAAGAAAAAGAATTAGAAAATAAATAAATAAAGAGGCACATTTATCCGGTTGCAAAGCGTTTATTTCCTTCATACCTCCAGCATGGCTTCCTCCAAGGATATAGTACGCTTCTTCAGGTCCACGAGGATCCTTGTCCCAACCCACAGAAGGCATCACCACAACACGGTCACCGATTTGGAGGTTCTTAGGAGAGCTACCCTTAATGTCGGCAACCTTGCCAACACAATCGGCGCCCATGACAGAGCCAAACACAATTCCCTATCAGTACAACGGAAATCAAGAAATTAGCAATGAGGAATGATGCACTACACAAAAATTTTCTTTTTGTGCTGACGATCTTTTGTCCAACATACTGGATATTGTCCCTTTCTGATCCAGAGCTCACGATGGTTTAACGAGACTGCATTGATTTCTAATAGCGCCTGGTTGTTCTCAAGAGTTTCAGGCTTTGGTATATCTACGACTTTGGCAAGGTGATATGTCGGCTGTGCATCTGACTTTTCTATGATAAGTGCCTTCATATTGGAACCTTCTGCAAAATAGTAAACAGTAAAACAATAACAGTTGAAATGGAACGTCCAAGGTCTTCGTTGTCAACAAGAAAAAAAAAAACAAAAAAAAAAAAAAAAAAGTGGAATGAGAAATGAGGAGAGTTCGAAGACATGGCAAATTTAATTTGCCTTATTAAAAAAATAAATGACGTTCTTGTTCAACTGTGCAACCGATCGAAAATTTCGGATCGGAACCCATATTCACAAGCAGGATTCAGTATACCAAGCTTCTTTATGCTTTGACACTACTTCTCTTTTTTCAATTTTCGACATACAAATAAACATAAATATATATCTTTTATTTTTATTGCGAGATCAAGATCACAAGTCAAAAAAAAAAAAAAAAAAAAGATTGGAGTTGAGGGGAGAAGTATGGATAAGCAGTTTAAAAGGTGATGGATCAATTGAAGGGGATATTTGCAAAAAAAAGTGAGGTGGTAAGGGTGGAAGGGAAGATACGATCCAGAATCTCGCTTCTATTTCCTTGCCTCTTCTATTTTTTTTTTTTTTTTTTTTTTTTTTTGCGCGTCTGAATTGAATGCTACTGTTGCTTTAGAAACATAATAATAAAGACGCAAAGAGTGATAGGAGTTAAAGACTGTTGTCTATTGATCATTAAATCCGTCAATTTTGTTGAGAAGGATCCAAATGCCGGTGCATAGCTGTTACTTACAATTGCAAATGAGGAAAGAATAAAAATGAAACAAACAGACAAAAAAAAAAAAAAAAAAAAAAAAAAACTTCGTAGCCGTTGTATAGCACACGAATTAATGGTGTCCAGCGTGGTCATCAGCACTCTTGACATCATAGCCAACAAAGTTCCTGCGTCCAATGATCTCACCGATCAAGAAGAAGGTGTAAGCCTCAGCAGCAACAAGTCCTGCCTTCAAGTACTGATCCTTAGAGATGTTCTTCCAAGTATTGGTGGAGCGAGCAGACTGGACAAACTTAAGAGTCGCCTGCTTAGCAGCCTCAATCTGAGCACCAGTTGGGGGAGCCATGCCCTCGCGGATGTAGACCTGCTTGGCAATCTGTCCAGCGACCTTGGCATTGTAAACAAGAGGACCTACAAGATATATATATCAAAATAAAATAATTAGAACTTAGGAACATGTCCACGGTCGAAAGCAGTGGTACCTCAACGAAGAGGCAATGTTGCTGGATCCAAATTATAAAAAATAAAAATAAAAAAGAATAAAGAAGCGATCTCTTCAATAAATTGAAACCCATTGTGATGATTAAATTTCGATCTAGATCTTTGCTGATTGATTAGTTCAAAGAAAGATCGCCTGTTGAATCCTTGAAACCATGATCTGTGGATGTATACAGGTGTTAGATTGAGATGAGACATACCAGACAGCTTGGTAGCGGTCGAAGTAACGGAAGAAAGAGCCTTGGTGACGTTGTTCATGGCGATGGAGGCAGATGGGTAATGATGAAAGAGGGTGATGGATGGTTAGTTAACGCGGTACACCTCGCTGATTATGGAGTGTGCCTGGAGTTTGCTTTTTTTTCTATTCGGAAGTACCCGTCACGGATTCGGCTTGGAACTGCTGCGCCACAAAATCGTGACTGCTTCTATTTAGGACTATCGGATGTCATTTGGCATCAAAGACGATATTTATCACATTTGGGGCTCTCGCCAACCTCGCGCGTCCGTACCTATGTACCCAGTCCACATCAACCGAATCTGAGCGTTTGTTCAGTAAGGCTGGGTTAGTTCTCCCACCATTCGGGACCAATCTCAGCGATCAAAATATGCGCAACATCATTTTTAGTCGCAGCTTTGAGAAAGTCCGGACTTTGTTAGACTAATATAAAGTAATTAGCAATATTAAGTTTAAATCGCTTTATTATACCCCGTCAATGTTATACGCTATGTTTTCTTGTCTTTGCCTTGCTCTTTTCGTAATCGTTCATCTCCAATTTTATCTATCTCTTTATCTTAGAGTTCCTGTCCTTTCAGATAGCATTCAATAAGTCCTAGCATCCAATAAATCGAAGCATCCAGGAAATATGGGCTTCAGTATTGCTAATTCAGGGTAAGGCTTCTTTCACCAAACTCAAACAGTGGCGAGAGAAGAATCTAGCGCAGTCTTAGCATCAATGTTACTTGTTGTCGCAGGCGATGACTATCGGTCTTTAAGATCTTTGAGATATAAAAATATAGAAGTCTGGCTATGGAAGTAGAATTTGGCCTTGACTATATAGACGATATTAGTAATGAAGAGAATGCAGAGGCAGAGACGCAATTAAAGTACATGGCGAGGTAAAATCAGGGAACTAAAGTTAATCTGTCAACTGTTCGTAGTATTAAGTGTGTCTTTAGAGATGATGCAGAAGGTTCCCTGAGAATGGAAAGAGAATGATAATGGGGAGAAAGAAGCCTGCTATGCATGCAAATGATTGTGGGGACAAAAAGATCAAGGCTGTGTGCTTTTCTTACAGGTTCTGCAAGGGGTTTACTATTTTCATTACGTGATTATGTAAATCAGAATATTGATCTGTTGGCTGGTCTATCCTCATGCTTGTCATTATTCCATTCGGGCTGCATATACGCTTGTCCTCTTTAAATGCTACTACTTCAACTCTATCTATTACGCGATGTCCCTTCGTCTTCCCGAAACCGCACGTACCCCAAAAGGTCATCAACTTTTCATCGATCCCGCCACTCCTAATCCAACGTCTAGAGAGGGTCCCCAAAAAGTGGATCAGTTTTTTTATGATGAGGATCCCGTCCGTTGGCTACCAGAAAACTATGCTGCAGACCATGCAGGCGATACTAAAGGCTTTGTAGATGGTTTACGAATTATGTCAAAGTGGAGAGATTTCCCTTTGAGAGCATCCATTTTTCGATTGGCAGCTTGACTTGTTAGCCTCGTTCTATAGTTTTCAGATTGTGTCTGACCATCTTGCAGTCAATGCTGGAACATGCTCTGCAGATCAGCTCAAAGACGCTTTATACCCTTCACCTATAGACCCTACCTCTGAGAGAAGTAAACCTACAACTAAGAAGGGACTTGACGCCCAAGACATACAAACCCCAAAGAAAGCTCGCATTACCTCTTCCTATTCTGCTTCTTCCTACTCTGCCTCCCTAGAATCCTTAGACCCGCGACCATTGTCATTTACATTTCCTACTGAGGAACGGGGCGAAGCTGGTATGCATCCATATGTGTCAATATATTCATAAATGATGATAACCCAATGTAATAATGTCTAAAGCTCTTATCACTTCCGAAAACGTAGGACTCTCGCCACTCCTTCGTCACTCTCAATCTCTTGTCCAGCACGCAAATATGAACTCGTCACTCCCTTGCGGGGAGTCGATTCCGTCTTCGCCAGAGCAATCGACGCTTACACCGCCCTCGCCTCCAAAATTCAATCAAGAGTCGATTTTGGAGCAGGAGGCTGGTTCTTTTTTTTTTTTTTTTTTTTTTTTTTTTTTTGGCGCCGCTGGATCACTGCAAGATATCCTCCTCAGCGATCTCCACGAGGGTCGCAGCTTGCCTCCGTGGGCGAAGAATCGCCCATTGTATAAGTTCAAGCTACAGTTGCAAGGGGATTGGGGCCCTCGAGTGACTGACTTGTACGAGGCAACCAGGGCCAAAGCTATCCTTGATCACACTCATCTGGATGAGATCGCGTATGTATCTATTCATAGCTTTCAAAGCTGTATAGTGTTTCTTTCAATATTTGTTCTCTACTCATGATTTTCATCAATTATGCAATAGCCTGCTCTCTGGAATCTTACATTTCAACCAAAAGCTTGCCGGATTTACCTCTGACGAAATATATTGTATATCCAGAGAGGTTCTCGAGGGCTTCTATAGCCATGAGGATGAGGACAAGGACATTTTGCGGGGACAGGATGCAGCTTCTCTCTGGGTCAGCTAGGTGCAGGTTAGTCGCAAAATGATTCTAGTTTCTTTTTTTTTTTTTTTTTTTTTTTTTTTTTTTTTTAAAAAAAAAAAAAAAAAAAATCAGAAGAGCGTCTTAACCTTTGAATAAATAGATATGGAAATCGCTTCTCCTCAATGAGAAAGTGATGGCAAAGAGAGAAAAAAGAGATCCAATCGATGCTGTTAATGCAATGCCAGTCATCGAAGCAGTACTCGCAAGCTTTGGGGAGTGCAAAAGCAAAAAAATCACCTCGATCTTTTTCATTGCTTTGCACATATTCCGACACTTTAACGCTTGGTCCTCACTGGGTTCAGAATCAGACTGTGCAATGGCGGTCATTGGTCCTATCGTACAGCAGGTCATGGGCCTGCAGCATAAGATTAAGTTCGCCTGGTATGCATTCAATTTGGCTGTGCCATGATATTTTTCTTGTTTGACACGCACTAGTTGGTTTTATTTAGTGCAAATACGGGCAGGAAAAAATAGGAAGTGTGAACTCCAGCAGGATGGGCAATCCCGACAACCCGACATCATTGGCAGGACGCAGTGCAATAAGGAAATCTTCTATGGGGAGCTCAAAGGGCCTTATTCGAATGGAGCACCAGTCAATACAGACATTCTTCGCCTCGCAATTTTTTCCAAGGACTCACTTGATCAACTGAACAAGAATTTAGAACAGGGACTGCCACTCCTGACCTTTCAAGCTGTGGGGCGTGATATAACTTTTTTCTTAGGGGCCAAAGTCAACAACACTGTTGTCCATGCGCACCTGTCAACGATTAAGCTACCATCGCGTTTGACTGAACTGGATCTAGATCACGAATTTTTTTCCATCTTCTGCAAGTAGAAACCTTAGTGAATATTGCCTATGGTCGCCTCCAGAATACGAGGAAGGAACCATTACAGGATGACCCTTTCCCGACTCTTGGGACACCGGAGCGAAACGCAGCGTTGAAGGGCCCCGCCAAGGAGAAAGTCAAATAGTGATTCTACTGAGAAGACAGTTTGTTCTGCGGTTCAAGTAGAGTCCTCGCCAAAAAGTTGTCGACTGATATATTTTTAAAATACCCAATTTGAATTAGAATCTGAAAAAATAGAATAAATTAGACTGCATTGGAAACCATTGTTTTTTTATGAATGTGAAACTGATCGATCGAAGCAGACCCTCATTACGCTTACATATTCACTCATTCTCCAAAAAAATAGTCAAATGGCTTTCCCTGCTGATATCGATGGTCACCTCCCACATAGTGATCTGAGTGATTTGTATAATGATCTAGGTGATACCGATCTAACATTTCTAAGAACACCCCGAAGATGCCGACAATCGCCCTCCAAACTCAATGTCACTCCCAATAGATCCCCCACACGATATCATTGGATCACTCCACCTAAGAACAGATCCAAAGGGTCCCCTCTAAAACAGTACTCCGAGGAGCTTCCCAGTGCTGCCGATCCAAATCCGTTCCTGTCAAATGGACAAGCTGCAGAGCTTCAGCAGGACATTGATGAGTTTCCTCGCAAAAAAGCGACCATTACACATAACGAATACGTTATGATGGCTCGGACATTCAAGGCTATTACTGAGGGGCCACTGGAAGTTCGACAGTGGTTTATGCAGACACCAGACAGAGCGAACACCTTGTCGATTTTAATGGGTGTAGGAAGAGATGCATGTTTGACAGGAATTAAATTTGCCACCACTGGTGTCCTCGAGTTCAAAGACCGTGGAAAAGTTGGGCATGAGAGAACTAGGATGCCCAAAAAAAGAAATTGATCAGGATGTAGCCTCGAAAATTATGGCGGTCATAGTAGATTCAAACAAGCGTGGTGCACCTAATTCAGCAGCTATAGTTGCGAACCAACTCAAGGATGACTTTGGGATCGACAGATCAGCAAGGTCAATTACTCGTGATCTTCGCAGAAGGGTTTATATTGGGGTAAAGGAATTCGACACTACTTCTTGCATGACTCCAAGGAAAATGTCGCATTCCGGACAACATACCTCAAGCGTTGCCTCAGTAATCTAAAACTTGTGGATGACAATTGGGTTCCTAAAATGTCGGAAGTGTTCTTAGATAGGTCTTACTGTCACATCGATCATGCTGCAGCAAGACGTTGGGTGAAAAATAGTGGTGGTGTCGCAAACGATGCGGGAAGAAAGCCAATAGGTTATCTTTGCGGCATTCGTTGTTTACTACGATGAACTCAACAAAAAAGTTGAGGGCAAACTCGTGAAAGATAGTGTATATGTTTGGCCACCCAAAGGGCCAAAGCCATAGTCGAGGAAAGGCCAAGAACAGGAGGCAGAGTTGTAGAACGATGTGCTTGAAGGGATCAAGAGTGCAGGGGTTGTAGCAACAGGTCACGACTATCATGGGAATTTCAACGCCAATTTCTTTAAGCGACTTTGTGAGTACCTCAATGAGATGGGATTGGAACTTGCCAAATCTATCTTGATGGTGCTTCGTATCATTTCCATAAGAAAAACAAAGCACCAACCAAGAGTGAGACCGCGACAACTATCAAAGAGTGGCTCACCAACAAGGGCATTGCTATTCCAACCAAGGAAAATGGAAAAGCAGTG